TTTTGCCCCAATACAGTAATATCCAGCAAGAACTGGGTCTCAGCTGCCCCTCAGCCTGCCCACTGGGGAGACTGACTCACGCGGGCAGGCTGGTCTCTACCTGAACTCCTTACACACACACTTCACTGGGGCCCTGGCAATACATTTTCCTATGGTAGCCAGCTTGGCTTTCTTAGACACCTCTGACCTTACCGTTAATCACTAATGAATTATAGTTAATGATGCCCTAGTTGACAGCATAGGGGTTAAAGCAAGAACCAGCGGTCACTGAACAATGCAAACAAGGGCACCTATGGAATTTTCTCCTGTGGAGGTCTTTTCTCCTCAGTAGGAGGATTTAGTCTATCTATCAGAAACGGACCCTGGAGCGGAATTCCGTGCTCCCACCGGTGTGCTTCTTGGCCTAGTGCCAGGCACCCTCTCAAGCTACAGAGGCTTATGGGGCTCGAAGAGCGGGGATCATAATGCTGGCATTTGAAAGTTGCAAGGAGGAGGCAGGAAGTGGATGAGCTGAACTGGCCCCTGGTTGCTGAGCCTGACCTCCTCACTCTGTAACTCCTCACAGCTGTGCGGCACCCTCATCACCATGGAACCACTACAGAAGGCAGTGCCTCCTGAGCCTACAACTTCCGGGAGGATCCTCTACAAACTGAAGCTGAGCTTACACCATGAACTTGTCACAGTAACCGTTTTGGATGGGAAAAAATAGTTGATGCCTTCCCTAGCTTTCTTAAAAAGAGGATCCTAAACAGGATTGACACTCTGGAGGACAACCCATCATTACTTCTGTGCTTGGTTGTGATTTGGTGATGCCCTTGATTCTGTTTGGGTGGATATGGCTCTTTGTTTCTGCATCAAACAGCTCCAAACTCCCAGGCTTGTGGGATTTATCAGGCTGATTTTATGTGTATTCCTTTATTTCTCCTTAATGCTTTCACTATGAAACTGTATTACTATGAAACAGGCAGGTGCCTCTTGCACCTTCTTAGTATTCCCTCTGAGCTGCTCCCAATATACTTGGGCTGACAAATGAAATCATTAGCCTTGTAAGAACTGTGTGTGAAGTAAGAGTCAGCAGGCTTGGAGTGAGGAAGGCCTGAGGAGTTCTGCTCTAAGTTAAAGGATTGAACTCTGTGACATTTTTGTCTATCCAGAGGCCTTCTATGTTTTCTTTTAGATCCTTGATTTGGTCCAGCATAGACAAACTGAGTTCCAGAGGATGACAGCATGCATAATCTGTGCATAAGATCTTTGCCAAGGTCAATTAAATCAGAAGGAAATAATATCTTTACTGAGGTAATTTTAGTTCAAAGATGGCTAAACATAACATACACACCTACACACATGCACACATCCCCCCTACAGTAATACACACACATACCTACGCATATACACACACCCCTTCACAAATGCATACACACACACATACCATGCACAGCAATGAAAGACAAAGCCACAAAAAAAGACTCACCTGTTTTTCATCTTTATATCTTGACATCCTAAATTTCCTGGGGACAAAGGGTTAGAAGTATAACAATTTCAAATTGGAAAGAACTTCCAAAGTCCTTCAGTTTTGCTCCCCATTTTAGTTCAGGAATCTTTCCTATTACCTCCTGGACAGACAGGCACTTTCCCCTCCTGTCGCGTGGTTCCAATAATGAGGAGCTCAGAGCTTTTTGAAGTCTGATTTTATCAATGGAAATCTCTGACACAAGTAACGCCACTACACCCCTGCCACATCTGATCTGCATTTCGTGTGCGGGTGTTAGGCTTCTGGTAGGGTTTTCATATAACTGTCCTTTGGGGTTGATGGGGTAGGTGTGCTCCTATAGGAATGGGGGAGCAGATTTCCCCTGTGAATATTTCTGCTGTCAATCATCTTATCTTCTCAACTAGAAACTGCAAAGGCTGGTTTAGCTGGAGAGGGAACTTCTGTTTCTCTGAGTCCTACTTCTTGGGTCTGAACTTGAAACATCTTGGAGTTCTTGAGAGTCTACCTGGATGGGGGTAGGGCTGATAGACATTGTCCTAGGGAAGAGGGCAGGTAGGTGCATGGTAGAGAACACAAAGAGAAGAGTGAGCCACCTTCTGAAAGTGACATGACCTGGATTCACATTACTCTGTGTATTTAGCTCCCCACTTGTCATCCCTGAGCCTTTAGAAATATCTAGTTTCAGTGTTGCACCCTGACCCAGTTGTATAATGGCATTAAAAGAAGAGTTTGAGGGTCAAGATTTATTTCTCCAGAATATCAGAGGCAAGGATGGAACCCGCTGAAGCCACTGTGGGTTTCAGTGATTACTAAGGGACTCTTAAAAGAAATGTGAATATTGGGGAACAAGAGTCCACCCACTCCTCTTCACATGATGATTCACCCATCACTGCCATCCTTTTATTAAGCAAGCTGCCAGATTTCCTACAAAAGTAATCCCTTAAATTGGCCTGAAATCTGTTTTCCAGTAACTTGCACCCACAGGACTCAATCTTTTCTCTCAGAAGCACAGAGAACAATCATCAGAACCACTGACATTCATTGAGTGCTTACTGTGTGCTAGGCATTTACTAAGCACTGTGTTATATTGTGTTTATGTTATCATCCCATTTTACAGATGAAGAAATTGAGGCTGAGGGAGGCCAAGTAATTCACCCAAGGCCTAATCCCAAGTAAGTGTCAGGATTTGAACTCAAGCAGCGTGATATCAGAGTCCATGGTCTTGAACTCTCAGAAATTCTGCTTGTCTGTCCCTATGGCAACCCCACAGAGATCTGCAGCCTGTGAGCTGGCCTCCCTGGATCTGTATCTTCAAGGTTGCATCCCTATCCCATCCCCCTTGCTGTTTCTTCTTGTGCCATTTCTCAGGAGGAACCTGGTCAGTTCAGGAACCAAGAACCCAGGTCTGGGACAGACAATGCAAAGAATGCAAAACCCAAGTCCATCTGACCTCCTGTGACCTGTCCCACTTTGACATCCTGGACAGCCTCAGGCTGAAGCCTCCGGAAGCACCATTTTAGCAGCATTCCCCTCAGAAGGCTGTATTTTTCCTGTCTGTCCTCAACATTTCTTCTGCTAGAACAACAGGCTCAGTTTTCCCTTCTGATAAATCTGGTCATCCTAAATATGGGGCTTTGAGCAAACAGGAGTGGCCAGCCCCACGCAGCCCTCATTTCGAAATGCAGATTCACTTTGGGCTGCTATTTTGGAGGTCTGGTTTCTTTCCCCACACACAGTGGTTTTAAAGAAAAGGGAAGGGATCACAGCAGAATATTGGCAGGGGAAAGATGCTGGGAGAGAAGACCCACCTGGGCAGTCTTTGTATGTCAAAGTTCCTAAAACACTGGCTCTTAGAGGAACTCTGTGAAAAAGAAGGTCCTTGGTTACATAAATTGGGAAATACAGCTTTTGGAGATCAGCATATTAAAGACTGAAGTTCTGGTAGTAAAAACGAAAAAAAAAAACCCAACACTAACTAGTTTTGTTTAATTCAGTTCTCCCATTAAAAAATACAGCCTCGTTAAAATCTGGAAAACAATGATGCAGAGTGGAAGTTGCAAACAGGCACCCGATGGCCTAAAATATTCCTGATACTTTTTTTTTAAATTGATGGGAGCCAGTCCTTGAAGAGCTGGAAGTAGCTTCAGACAGCACTATACAAATATTTTCTTTCTCTTTTTAAAATAACTAATTAATTATTTCTGACTGCACTGGGTATTGCTGTTCCCAGATTTTCTCTAGTAGAAGTGAGCGGGTGCTACCCTTCTTTGTGGTGCCTGGGCTTCTCATTGTGGAGGCTTCTCTTCTTGCAGCTTGTGGGCTCTACAGCACAGGCTCATTAGTTGAGGCACATGGGCTTAGTTTTCCTACAGCATGTGGGATCTTAGTTCCTGGGCAAGGAATTGAACCCATGTCCCCTGCATTGGCAGGCAGGCTCCACTCGACCACTGGGGCAGTCCCTCCCGATAGGTTTGATTTGGCCTGTACAGTGCTTTGATTTGGCTTTAAACGAGTTACTAGCTCTTAACAATCGGAATATTTCTCATAACAATCTAGATTTGGGTGTTCTTGGAAAATCAGAAGATCTGGAAACACTGGTTCACATTCTTGCATAACGAAGGTCAGCTGGACTCAAGGCTGAGGTCCCTTGCCCCATGCGGCCCCTGCCTTCCTCTGGCAACACAGCAGCCTCTCTGCTTGACTCATGTGTGATACTTGCCTGGCCCAGGAGTCCCCCAATCTTGCCTTCCCTGGTACAGAGATTTTCTTGAGTGGGTGTTGGCCTGGGTGACCCTCAAGGCCCATTCATCTGTGATACCCGTACTGATGGAGCTTCTGGAGCCTGAGGATAACGAGATGTGTACAACAGCTCCTGTCCTCTGGATACCAGCGCTGCCAGTCTAGCTGTCAACTGAAGAATGAGGAGGGGGAGAGGTTGAGGAGAGAGGTAAGCCTGCAAGGCCAGTACCTCGTTTCCTGATTTCCAGACCCTGGTAAGTGGCAAAACCTTCCCTATTCTCCACTGCTGTCTCTACTGCTACTTCAGACAGACACTGTGAGCCCCGGGGAAGAAGCCACCAATTTGTTTGTGATTTAGACGAGTTTCCGGCCATGTCCAGGCCTCAGTGTCTCCAGTGGTGGAATGACCGGGTTGGAATAGAAAATGACGCGCATCCCATCCAGGACTGGCGCTCAGATAAGCTAAGACTCCATGATCGAGGAATGTCTGACCAGGCCATTCCAGAGCTATTCCATCGAATTCCAAGCAGCCCCCCTCCCTCCTTTCCCCAGTCTGGGCCAGGGCGGAGGCTGGAGCCAGAGGGCCTAGCCTGCCTGGGCTTCCCGCCCGGGGGCGGAGCCGCCGCTGGACGCCCCGCCCCTCCACCTGGGGCTCGGCCCCGGCAGATGTTACAACTTTTTCTCATTCTCTCCCGCGGTGTCCCCCACAGACCCGCCCAACCCGTGCCTCCCTCCCCTTCTCCTCTGGGGTCCTGCCCACCTCCCTAAGGGGAGCCGACAGTTCTCCCGACTCCGGGCGGGGCGAGAGGCCGGGCCGGGGGCTGGAGGGTCGGGAGGAGGAGAAAGGGAAAGCAGAGGCGAGAGAAATTAGGAGGCGGGAGAAATCAAGGGCTAGAACGAAGAGGGAAGTCAGAGGATGGTCGAGAGCACTTTTTGGAAGCCGCCACACCGTGTCTCAGGCTGGCCTGGCTGAACTAGGGGAGAGGGACAGGAGCGGCGCAGGGCGGGCGCTGGGGCGGCGGGAGGCTGCTGGTCGCGGGCCTGACCTCCTCAGAGCGCCCCGCTGCGGCCGCGCAGGTTCGGCCTCATCGTCCAGCCAGTCCCGGACCGGCCGCTGGGTCGCCCCCCGGGGACGCTGAGCGCTCTAGCAGCGTCTGGGCCAGCCGGCTGGCGGGCGTGCGGGCCGTGCGCCCTGGGCGCGCGAGACGGTGAGGCCCTGGGAGCCCTGCGCGCCGGGACGCACGGGCCGGCATGGCGATGCACGCCCTCACCGGCTTCTCTCTGGTCAGCCTGCTCGGCTTCGGCTACCTGTCCTGGGACTGGGCCAAGCCGAGCTTGGTGGCCGACGCGCCCGCGGAGGCCGGCGTGGAGCACCCCTCGGCTGCTCCACCGCAGCCTCCCCACATCATATTCATCCTCACAGACGACCAGGGCTACCACGACGTGGGCTACCATGGCTCAGATATTGAAACCCCCACACTGGACCGCCTGGCAGCCGAGGGTGTCAAGTTGGAGAATTATTATATCCAGCCCATCTGCACGCCTTCACGGAGCCAACTTCTCACCGGCAGGTAAGCATGACCCAAGCCATTGATGCTGGTCCAAGCCCCAAATAAACCCAGCTGTAGGTTTCACTTGTGCTGACATTAACCCCACTGGGAAAGCCCCGGCTCATAGCCAATTCTGTCTCCAGTTGACTGTGTGATCATTAGTAAAGACCTTTGCCCTTTCCGGGCCTCGGTTTCCCTACCTGTACACTGAATGGGTTGAATCATCTTTGGGGATCTTCTCCCTCTGATGTTCTAGGACATTCAGACTCCACACCATGTGAAGGAGACATCTGATCATCTCTTCATTAGAGGAACATGGAAGCCTCTGACACCTAGGTTTGAATGTTGCTTCTATTAATATTTACATACGCTGAGGCCCTGAGCAGGGTATGTAACTTCTCTAAGCCTCAGTTTTCTTGTCCAGAAAATGGGGTGAAGAACAGATTTTAATCTTGAAAAAGAGTGGTGAGGATGGAACCAGTTGCATATAGTCTTCTTGGTTATCCATAAATGGCAGCCTCTATGATACTGAAAGGATTAGGGCATCCAAACTGTTTAATGATGACATTGGGAGGAAGCCAGGGAGTGGATAGGTGGAGGAGAAAGGCACACACAGGATGCCTGACCTGTGTAGCCTTAGGCTAGCTACTTCATCTCTCAAAGCCTCTGTTTTTTCATCTGCAAAATCCTCCCGAGTTGGCTGGGAGCCCCAAGGAGACGTGCTGCTTTCTCCGTAAGGAGTTGTCCACAGGCAAGGTGGTAGGATTACAGGATTAATAGAGCAGGGAAACAGGAGGTGGGTGTGTGGAAGGCAAACTCTGGCCACTTAGGAGAAAATCCTTTGGCAAGGCTGAAGCTAATCCTCCTTGGATGGGGTCCAAGGCGTGCTTTCTCCCAAATTCCATCCAGAAGCCACTAGCGTGATCTCAGAAACCAGAGCCATACTCTTCCTGTTTCCTGGATGGGAGAAACTGAGTCACAGAATCAGGGAGGGCCAACCTCAGTGCCTGTGCCCAGCTTCGGGATGGGTAGGAGAGAAGGCTGAGAAGCCAGGTGCTTAGAGGGGCCCTGGAGCTGGGAATCAAATAGGTGCCTTTTCTTTCTTCAATCTGGCACTTCAGCTCTAGGAACTGAGAGAGAGAACCGGAAAGAGGAAGGGGCGCGAGTGTATGAGTTGAGGGTGAGGGCCAACAGTAAAGACCAAATGTTAGCCAGCCTCCAGAAGAGGGAGGAGGAATCTGCATTCCCAAGAGTGGTGCGCAAGTTAGCATTTCTCTCTGAGAGGTGACTTTTGGTTTAAGCAGGGGAATGAGCAGCATGCAGGGCAGCGTTCCAGCCCTGCCACCTCCCTACCTGCCCCGCCCCCCCCCCCCCCATCTGCAGGGTTAGCTGAGCATGGCCGGGCAGCGTCTGCCCTCTGCCCCCTGCAGCTAGCTGGCTCCATCTGACTGATGCTGACTACTCTCATTAGTGTTTGTTAGTGCATCCAGTCATGTTTGGTAAAGCTGGGGAGAGCCAGTTTCCCATGTTACTCACTTGCAGACAGACTACAGTGACTCTTAGCTGGCCCACCCACTTTACCAAGCAGGGTTCTATGGTGTCCAGCCCCTGCAAAAAAGAGGCCTGCTGCCACTTGGGGCCCTTGGGTACTTGTTTCAAATCTAATTGTTAATTAGCTTGACCCAGGGTCTGCAGAGGCCACATCACTGAGAGATTTTGAGTGTGAGTTACAGAGACCTGGGCTCAAAGCTCAGCGCTCCTGCTTGCCAGCCATCTTGAACTTGGGCCTGTTGCTGCACTCTTGGGAGCCTCAGTTTTATCATCAGTGGAATGGAGGTAATAACAGTCTTCACTGTAGGTTACTTAGGTAAAGTAAGTGAAATAGTGTGTGCAGCCTATAGTGTTAAAAATGGCAGTCATAGCTAATGATAGCTAACAACCAAAACAGCTTTAAGATAAGGAAACCAAAACAGAAAAATGCACCCCAGTCCCCGGCTTAAAGGTATCAGGAATTTAGGTCATGACTGGCTTAACTTGGATGCCTGGGAGTGAGAAAAAGGTGTGGGGTTCTAATACACTTGTGAAGTTCCAGGCTTCTTACTTAGTCTGGGACTTGTAAGCTTGAGTGAAGGCAACACTCTAAGCTTATAACATGGGCACCTTGACCACAGAGGAAGAAATGGGATAGAAATGAATAAATGGGGAATGAAGAGTTCTGCTCACCGTTTGGTCCTGCCTCAGGGCATTAGTCTGTGTGAGTGACCTGGATCTCGGGGTCACATAAACTTGCAGGCAGGCACCTGAGAACTGGTCTCATAACATTTGGGAGCTGGAAGGTTTTTATATGGGTCCCATTCCAACGAGCTCACTCCTCACATGAGCTAACTGGGGCCTCCATGGGGGAAAGAAGTGGCCATCTAATTTACCAGAAAAGGGTCTGTGTTTGGGCACTCTGATTGGCTTTATGTTTAAGTCCTGGCTCTGCTCCTGACCACTGAGTGAACTTAAGCGAAGTCTTTCCCTTCCTCGGAACCTTAATTTCTTTTTGAGTTGAGATGAATAAATTAGAAAATGATTTGAGTCCCTTCTGGTTCTAAAATCCTTTGAGTGTCATTCTTCATTCATTCATTTCATAAGTAATTGAGTGTCCTTGAAACATCTCTGGAGCACTAGGAATACAAAGAGGAGTAAGGGGCAGTCTCATTAAATATCAGTGGGCCCAAGAACATGTATGTACAGCCAAGTAGAATACTATGGCCAAGTTGGACCAGTGAAGGTTTGTATTAAATGCTGTGAGAACCCAGAAGCAAAAGTGGCTCATTCTTTGAGTGAGAAACTTTATAGTGATGGTAACATTTGAGCTGGGCTTTTAAGAGTGAATAGGAGTTTTCTTAGGAGAGTAGGACTTGCTGTAGACCCCATGACAAGTTAGTGGCTTAGAATGTAGGGACTCTGAAATCTGGAGTCAAACTGTTGGGGATACAAATCCCAATTCTAATTACTAATTGTGTGGCTCGCTGGTTAAATGATTTAATTTACTGAGCCTCTGATTTCTTATTTGGGAGATGGGAATAATAATAACAACAGGCACCCCCTAGGTTAAAGTGAGGATTTAGTGAGATAATTCCTATAAAGGGCGTAGCGCCACAATACTGAGCATACAAGTGCTTGGCATCAGCCTTTGTTTTTGTTGTTGTCATGATTAGCCTGGGTTCAGCTCAACTCCCCAACTTCCTAGCTGTGTGATACTGCTTGAGTGGCTTAACCACTCTGGGCTCTAACCTCCTCATCTGTAAGATGATAAATACCTGTTCAGTTGACTTTGAGGGTTCAGTGAGCTAATGCATTTGAAGTGCTGGGCACATTTGATAACACCTACTGGGCTCCCCTGGTAGCTCAGCTGGTGAAGAATCCGCCTGTAATGCAGGAGACCATGGTTCAATTTCTGGGTTGGGAAGGTCCCCTGGAGAAGGGATAGGCTACCCATTCCAGTATTGTTGGGTTTCTCTGCTGGCTCAGTTGGTAAAGAATCCACCTGCAATGCAAGAGACCTGGGTTCAATCCCTGGGTTGGGAAGATCCCCTGGAGGAGGGCATGGCAACCCATTCTGGTATTCTTGCCTGGAGAGTCCCCATGGACAGAGGAGCCTGGCAGGCTACAGTCCATGTGGTTGCAAAGAGTCAGACATGACTGAGCGACTAAGCACAGCCCTGGACTGGTTCCTTTGCTTTTCTCGCTGGTAGTGCTGGGACTTGAGCCCACCTCAGAGTGAATGTAGGAGGCTGGGGAGCCAGGACCATGGTTTCTGCCTCACCAGTGATTTCTGTGTCCTCCCCTCTTCCCGCCAGATACCAGATCCACACAGGACTTCAGCACTCCATCATCCGCCCTCGGCAGCCCAACTGCCTGCCCCTGGACCAGGTGACACTGCCCCAGAAGCTTCAAGAGCTGGGCTACTCTACCCATATGGTGGGCAAGTGGCACCTGGGCTTCTACCGGAAAGAATGCCTGCCCACACGCCGGGGCTTTGACACCTTCCTGGGCTCACTCACAGGCAACGTGGACTACTACACCTATGACAACTGCGATGGCCCGGGGGTGTGCGGCTTCGACCTGCACGAGGGTGAGAGTGTGGCCTGGGGGCTCAGTGGCCAGTACTCCACTCTGCTCTACGCCCAGCGCGTCAGCCACATCCTAGCCAGCCACAGCCCCCGGCAGCCCCTCTTCCTCTATGTGGCCTTCCAGGCGGTCCACACGCCTCTGCAGTCCCCACGCGAGTACCTGTACCGCTACCGCACCATGGGCAACGTGGCGCGGAGGAAGTACGCAGCCATGGTGACCTGCATGGATGAGGCCGTGCGCAACATCACCTGGGCCCTCAAGCGCCATGGTTTCTACAACAACAGTGTCATCATCTTCTCTAGTGACAACGGCGGCCAGACCTTCTCCGGGGGCAGCAACTGGCCGCTGAGAGGACGCAAGGGCACTTACTGGGAAGGGGGTGTGCGGGGCCTGGGCTTTGTCCACAGCCCCCTGCTCAAGAGAAAGCGACGGACAAGCCGGGCACTGGTGCACATCACTGACTGGTACCCGACCCTGGTGGCTCTGGCAGGGGGCACTGCCTCGGCGGCTGATGGGCTGGACGGTTATGACGTGTGGCCAGCCATCAGCGAGGGCCGGGCCTCACCGCGCACGGAGATTCTGCACAACATTGACCCACTCTACAACCATGCCCGGCACGGCTCCCTGGAGGGCGGCTTTGGCATCTGGAATACCGCTGTACAGGCCGCCATCCGCGTGGGCGAGTGGAAGCTGCTGACAGGAGACCCTGGCTATGGCGACTGGATCCCACCCCAGACACTGGCTGCCTTCCCTGGCAGTTGGTGGAACCTGGAACGGATGGCCAGTGCCCGCCAGGCCGTGTGGCTATTCAACATCAGTGCTGACCCCTACGAACGGGAGGACCTTGCTGGCCAGAGGCCGGATGTGGTCCGAGCCCTGCTGGCCCGCCTGGTGGACTATAACCGCACAGCTATCCCTGTGCGATACCCAGCTGAGAATCCCCGGGCCCACCCTGACTTTAATGGGGGTGCATGGGGGCCTTGGGCCAGTGATGAGGAAGAAGATGAAGAGGAGGAGGAAGGCAGGGCTCGAAGCCAGTCCAGGGGGCGACGCAAGAAAAAATGCAAGATTTGCAAGCTGAGATCCTTTTTCCGTAAACTCAACACCAGACTGATGTCCCATCGGATCTGATGGGCGGGGCTGAGATACTTCCCCACGCAAGCTGGCCCTGTTCCTCAGCAGGGAGGGGCTCCCGTTCAAGTCCTCCTCTTCAGGGAAATGGGGGCCATAGAGTGTCTCAGTTGAAGGGTGGGTAGCTTGGTTTGGGGCTTGGGGGAGAATAAACAAGACTGGGATGCCTGGGGTCCCAGTCCTGCCTCTCTGTTGACTTGCTCTGTGACCTTGGGTGACCTGCAGGAGCTCTTTGAGCCTCATTTTCCTCATTTGGAGAATGAGCTCTGATGCTGTGGATTGGGTGCCTGGGACCACGGTGAAGTTCCCACCAACTTTGTCACTGCCTAGCTCACTTAAGGCCTCGCTCTTGAACCCTGGACCTTTGTGGTACTTCCTGGGTGAAGTGCCCAACATCACCTGGGCCCTCAAGCGCCATGGTTTCTACATGGAAGTCTACAGGCCTGGACCCGAGCCGAGGCATTATGATCTGACCTCTGTCTGAGGCCATCCCCTGAGTGCTGAGGTTGGAGGTGCAGGGACCTGGGACCTTCCTGGATCCTCATTAGGCCTGGGCCAGTCCTGGGGACAGACTGGTCGTGGTGAGCTCCCCTTCCAGGGAGGGAAGGGGAGGACTGGGCCTGCCTGTTGGCTGCTGCAGGATCAAAAGTAGTGGAAATAGCTGTGTAAAGAAAGAGCCCTGCACCAACCAGCAGAACATTTGGGTTCTGCTCTGACCTTGGGCCCAGTCCTCTTCCCTGGGCCTCAAATTCCACACCTGCACAAGGGGATGCTAGCCCTGGCTCTGCCTACCTCACAGGTCTGTAGAGAACCGGCTGCAGTCATGGTTGTAGAGGAACCCGTGAACTTGATTAAAACGCAGAAACACAGAAGCAAGGGCTGCAGTGCTGTTGTGAGCTTGTGTGGGTGTTCACGTGCGTCCTGGGCCAGGTGTGAGTTCACCGTTGGTCCTGGGTATGGTCCAGGGGACGGGACATGTGGGTTCTGGCCCAGTCCTGCCCCAGCTCCTCTGTGTGGCCTCAGGCCCCCTCTGGGCCTCACTGTCCCTCTGCACAGTGAATGAACTAAGAACCCTCCCCCTAGATGTTCTGGGCACCACTGGGCGTGTGTGTATGTTGGGGGACACAGGCTGGGTGGTGGGGAGGAGGGCGTGGGAGTTTCAGGGCTCGATGGCTGGGTAGCGGCCTCTATCCGCACACTGCGTTCTGCATATCTCCCTTCAGCTTCCAGTCCGTGCAGCGTGTGTAGGCGAAAGCCCTGCTGTGAATTTTGAAAATAGTTATTTTTGTCTCTGGCAAAGGAGGCCTGTTAGGACTCGTCAGCATGTGGATGAGCGGGACGGGTGGGGTGGGTGCAATACAGTGAGGGGGGTTCAAGACTTGGTGACCCAGCGGCAGTCCTACCCCAGAGTGTGGCTGAGCCCAGGAGTGAAGGTCTGGCTGGGGCTGCACAGTGGAGGTGACCTCCATGTTCTGGGCCCCTTCCCCCCAACCCTGCTCTCGTTTCCCTATTCTGGCTTCACTCAGCCAGAACCCTTTGCTGTCTCCAGAATGTCAAATGCCTGGGTCGTGATGAGCCAGGGGCTACGAATAGCTGAGGCCTCTGGGTTCCAGCTACCCTCAGCATTTCCGCCTGCTCTGGAGGGGAACTCTGCAGTCCCAGATCCCGCATACCCCAGAGCTGGCTCATCTATGGTCTTCCACTTACCTAAGATATCGCAGCTCTGCAGAAACCCTTGTCCCAGTTGTGCGGGCTGGGCCCTTCCAGAATGGTATGGAGCCTGGGCTCCTCTGCCGCCCCAGACTCACACCAGCTGAGCAGAGGCCTCTCTTGTGTGTGCTGAGTTGGCTCTGAGCAGCCCCGCCTCCAGCTTCAACCAGCCCTACTTCTCTGCCTTTGGGGGCCACAAGTGCAGGACCATAAAAGACCTATTTCTGCTTGTTCCTAGGCACCAAGACATCCCCTCTGTGGCTCACTGGGCCTTAAACATGGAGAGCCCACCTGGGACAGAGGGCTTGGGGCTGGTGCCCGCTCCTGCTGCTCTAAGAAGGAGGCCCAGTCTTATCTTCAACCCAGCCTAGAGCTCATTGGCCTCAGTCTGCTGCCCAACCCAGAAACCAGCAAAGAGGCCAGGAGCCCCACTCAAGTTCAGCCTGTGACCCTGTCCATGGCCCAGCAGACCCCAAGCCTACCTAACCAGGGTGCTGGTAGCTGGCTGGGGCCTAGGACTGGTGGAGGGTCTCAGGATAAGGAGCAACTCAGGGCTCAGGGCAATGTGATGAGAGGCTCAGCCTGCTTGCCGTGGTTTCTGCTCTGCCCAGCGAGGAGCATGTTGCCCAGTCCCATTCCTCCCACGGCCTGTGGCTCCTATCTTCCCCTGCAGCCAGGGCACCTGGGTCTGGACTCTGCGTCAGGCCTCTGAACGGCATTCCCAGGCAGATGCTTGCAGCATCTATGGCGGGGAGGGGTAGAAGGGTGGGCAGACCAGAGGCAGTTATGGCCACTGGTCCTAGATCTGGGGGGAGTGGGGCCCAGAGATGCCAGACAGTTCCCCTCTTTTCATCTTGACTGGACTGAACAGCCACAGATCTGCCGGTCAGATAGGTTAGAGCCAAGGGCAGTGCTGTCCGAGCTGCACCCTGTCTGTGGCATCCTGGGCAGGGATGACCGGGCCCCTGGGAGCCAGAAGAGAGCCCCAACCTGGCTGGAGGAGCAGGGCTCTGGGCACATCCCCTGCTGGGCCTTGGCATCATGTCCTCCTTTCTGTTGGTGCCTGTTGGGCACCCGGGACCTAGGCAAGTAGCCCTGACTGCAGGAAAGAGGAGGGCAGAGGAGGATAAGGGAAGGAGCACTGTGGTGGGAGTCAGGTGTTCTGGATTATCATTCTGACAGCCCCTGACTTAGGTGACTGCCTGAGGGCAGCTTCCTCTCTCTGGGCCTTAGTCTCCTGTCCGTAAGGGGATGGGGCTGACTCTGGGCCTGTCCAGTCCTAGCGGAGTCCTACAAACAGGGCAGGGGTGCTGAAGCCAAACAGATCCTCGACTAGTAGGTCTTGCCACATCTCTGCAAAGCAGGCGATGATTGTACCAATCTCACGGACATTTGTTGTGAGGTATAAAAATAGTGCAATATGTAAAGTGCTTAGCACAGGGCTTGGCTCTAAAGTGGAAAGAACTATTTTTCATGTCCTTGGAGTCAGTGAAGGAACATCTTGTCTTTACATTTCTCTGGAAGGAACGGAGGTCTCAGTGGGAAAGAGGAACTGCCATAAGCACTCGCCGCCAATGGCAGGACTTGAACTTGGGTCCTCAAGCCGCAGGTTGTGCTGTGCAAACCTGGGCCCGGTAGCTTCCAGTCCCCTTCCTCCCACTGCCCTCTGTCTTGTCTTGTCCCACTTCCTCCCCTTGTCCTCTGTCTCTTGGTTCCCTGCTTCCGTCTCCCCTACAAGGAGTGCCACCTCTGTGGGACACCTCAAGGCACAGAGCCTGACCCCCGCCTCCTCTCCCTTCTGAGTGCGAGCCTGGCATTACTCACTGCAGTTAACGAACCAGATCACTCTCCACCCAGACCCTCTGTAGGCTCATTGCTCTCTTGGCCCACTTTCCACTGATTCTGCCCCCATGCTCACTGCCCTTAATGGGACAGGCCTCATGGGGACTGTGTGGATGGCACGTTTTCTATGATGCCTGCCCAGGCCCTGCAGGACCCTGAAGCACTCGGGCATGTGCATGTGAGCTCGTGTAGGGGCTCTGGAAGGTGGCACATGAGTCGGCTGTCACCCACTGCAGTGACCCAGGAATTTGGCCCTGCTCCCCGTTTGTCCCTCCCCAGGTCCATGGCGTACAGCCTGTGTTCCTGTTCCCTGTCCTAGGGTGTAGGAGCCAAGCTCAGCACCCTCCAGGGCATCCACCCCTGGCCACCAGGCTGTGACAGGCAGGCCTGCTCTTGTGTACTGCATGCAAGTTGCAGCTGGGGGGGGGCGGGGGCGCGCACATGCAGGCTCTCCTGCTTGCCGCTTCCCTGGGGAGTGGGGAGTCTGGCAGAAACAGTCCCCCTGATGCAATCAGAGTCTTGTGCGCTCAGCACCACGCAGGCAGGGCTGGCTCCTCGCTGTCCGCCACCACTGGGCACAGCTACCAGCCTCCCGGGCACAGGGGAAGCAGTGAATTAACAGTTGTGCCTCCTCGGCGGGGTGGCAGTTACAGTCAGGATGGGGGTTGCCTGTCTGCGGCAGTGCCCACACCCCTGTGTGAGGCTCTAGAAAGTTCGGAGGTGTGTTTGTGTGTGTGTGTATGTGTGTGTATAACAAGGAGTTGCCAAGGAGACCTTTTCCTCTTCTCCCTTTTCTTCCTCCCTCTCCATCCGCTCCAGGCATCTCTGCAACATCAGGACCCTACAGCCTGGGTCCTGCCCATCCCCTAGGACTGTGGGGACAGGGTCCAGGCCGGCACAGCGAGGAAGAAAACGAATGAGACTGACAGAAAGAGGAAGGGAGACAGAAATTTGGAAAAGGGACAAAAAGGAAGAGGAAAGACAGAGACACCTGAGAAGAAAGGGCTCAAGGGAAGCAGGGAAGGAGTGAGGAGAGGGGAGAGGCTCAGGCCAGCTCCAAGCCAAGCTGGACTATCACCTCCTTTATTCAGAACATTAGATCCCCATTAATACAACCTCGGGGCACAAATCCCTTTTGTCCTGTTTGTTAATTTCTAAAGCAGCGTTCACTTAGTTAGTATCTGACACGCTGGGCCTGTTCTCCCGCCCCAGTCCTTTGTTCTGCAGGCATGCTGCAAACCAGGACTGGCAAGGTGATGGCCACACCTGAGCTCAGCTCCAGTGGGAGCTCAGAGAATGGCGCCTGGAGTGATGTGTGATGTGTCCTTCCATGATTCAGAGGGAGCAGTATGAAGAGGAAGTGACTTTTGAATTTCTTAATAAGAATCATTTCCCATCTTTTGAGCATTTACAGCATGTCAGACACTGTGCTCATCTCATTTAATCCTTACAACAGCCTTGGAGCTAGGGAATGTTAGCTCTATTTTGCAGATTAAGAAATCAAGGCACAGAGAAGCTAGGACACTCATCCCCCATCACACAGCCTGTAGGTCGTGGAGTCACTCTAACCACTGCCCAGTGCTGCCTCTCCTCTTCTCTGGGCAATGACTCAGGTGCCTTCGGTGGTCGCTGAGGACGGTTCCAGTGCTTTCCTGTGTGGAAGCAGTCTCCTCCTGGGGACAGGCTAGCGGGTCTGGGATAGGGGGGTGGTGATGCAGCCCTTCCTCAGCTTGCCTGCGGTCGCCTCTAGCCTTTAGATGTATATTCTGTGCCCTGCCCGCTACCCACCAGCTGTGCAGCCCCTGAGCAAAGGCCTCTCTTCTCTGCCTCTGAATTGCAACGTTGGCGGCAAAGCGGGAAGCATATTGTGCACAGAAACAAAACTGAGTGGTTTTTCCTTTTTCTGAAGGTGGTAATGGTGCAATTAGTGGCTAAGCCATTTACCCCCTCCTCCCCGACTCTCCTCCCCTTCCTCCCCTCTGCCTCCCTCCTGTTTCTCTCCTGGGAATAAGTGGCTGCATCAGAGTCAACTCCATCCTTCTCTCCCACTCCCGACTCTCCCAGGAAGAGGGACAGAACTGGAGGGTACCCAGATTTCCCCAGGGGCCCTAGGGGACCTAGGGTTGTATAGTCAGGGATCTGCTGGGGTTGCAGATAATGTATCTACCAAGTGAGGTGACCAGTAAGGTGATTTGGAGATTCTGAAGGGTTGGGCTAGAAAACCAAGAGAGTTGGGATCCTGGATCCTTTTATTGTGTGGTCATTGTGGGCAAGTGCTGACATGGACCTCAGCATGGAGGGCTGCGGAGGGCGCTTGAATGGAAGAGGTGGGTGTGAGGGTCCGAGATTCTGAGTTCAAGCTGCAGTGATGGGAGTAGTCATGGTCTCACTTTAGATCTTCTTTTGCCTCTTCTAGAAACTAAGAAGAGACCTCATGTTTACATATTTCACAAAGGCCTCCACAGCTCTCAGCCTACTCTGCCTTCACAGCCTTCCTTTCCAGTGGCAGCTAAAAGGAGTGAGAGGCTCAGAGAGGGGCTGTGACTTACCCAGCATCACACAGTCAATATATGTTAAGACTGGAATTGAACTCAGATCTTTAAATGCCAGTTCTTTTTCTTCTTAACCCCCCAGGTCTTGGGGTGAGATCTTGGGGTCATAGATATGGTTACCGCCCTGAAGAGTTGAGGTTGGCAGGAAATGTGTCCACAAAATTTGGGAATGAGAATTTTAGGGCAGGTCCATGGCCACTCCCCTCCAAGCCAGGCCATGCTCCCCTCCCCACTGCTGCTTCCACCTCTTTCACCTTGACGTGGAGCACAAGCAGAAACTGGGACATGAGCCCCAGGAGACCAGATCTCCATGGCCCCTTTGGGGGCCTGGGCTAAGAGTGTGGCTAAGGAAGAGACCTCAGGAGGGGACCTGAGGGACAGCTGACTGTCATAGCTGAGCCGGGCTGGGATGAGTGGGCTGCCAGGGATGTTCCCTCCAGAACCCTGATAGCTCCTCTGCACTTCTGCCCCTAGCTAGAGTGCCAGTGTGATGGACAAGTGGCAAAGAACAGAGAGAGAGAAAGCAAAATAAGAAAGACAGAGGCAGAGGCAAAAAAATTAGAAGGGAGCAGAGAGATAGTTACAGAGGCTATAGTGATCTACTGAGAGAGAGAGAGATCCCAATGAATTAGCCATCGTTTCCCTGTAAACCTTAGAACCTGGCAGTTGCCAGGGCAACAGGGCAATACCTGTCTCTCCAGAGGAGATGAAGTTGCCAGGGTAACTGCTTCCTGTCTTTTCTGGGGACCATCCGGAATGTGGCACCCTCTGGCCGTTACCATGGTAACTGCCTTTTTGCCCCACTTAATCCCATCCTGTCTGTTACAAGGGCCCCACAGTTAGAATTGGGGGTGGTGGGAAGACTGAAGATCACTTGTGGACTAAGTTTGTTCTCCTCCCCTTCTGCCAGCCCCTCCCTAAGTCCATCACCTTGGGGCTGCTGGGTCCACCCACCCCCGGGCCCACACAGGCCTGCAGTATTGTGTGTGGTAGGGCCAGAGCGTCCGGGAGCAGGTTTTGCAGTGGAAGGCAGGCAGGTGTTGGGGAGGCAGTTACCGGGGCAACGGGAACAGGGCGTTTCGGAGGTGGTTGCCATGGGGACCTGGATGCTGACGAAGGCTCGCGAGGCTGTGAGCAGCCACAGTGCTCTGCTCAGAAGCCCGGGGCTCGTCAGTCAAGCTGGTTCTCAGTTCGCACTTGGCAGCACGGGCAGGCGAGTGGCCCCTAGTTCTGGGAGCAGCAGCGCTCCTGTCCTGGTCCTACAGCCCCAAGCCTCGCCTGCCCGCCCAGCGCCAGGATGGCCACCATCACCTGCACCCGCTTCACGGAAGAGTACCAGCTCTTCGAGGAACTAGGAAAGTGAGTTGCACCTCAGAGAGTCCTGGAGGGCTCAGGGGGCTCAGCATCATGGGCGGGGGGGGGGTGCACCTGCCCTGCTTCCCGTGCACACATAGGAAGGAAGACTGAATGTGCTTGGAGCTGCTTGCATGTGCAGAGTGCCTAGAGTTGGGCACAGGCATGTTTGCCAAGATGTGCCAAGGCTAGCTGCGTGCTTGGAGCTGCTTGCATGTGCAGAGTGCCTAGAGTTGGGCACAGGCATGTTTGCCAAGATGTGCCAAGGCTAGCTGCGTGAGTGTGTGTGTAGAGGTGAAGGGTTGACAGTGCATGGCAGTGTCTGTGCATGCAAACACACACACATACACACACAACTGCACATGACCTGGGCACACACAGATTCTTAGAAATTCAGGATTTAAAAGGGTTCTTCCCAGTCAGCCGAGTCCAAGGCTGGAATCCCCTGTTGAGTTTTTTTCTTGAGGTGGCCATCTGTCCTCAACTTGGTTACTTCTGGTGACAGAGAGCTCATCATCTCCTGGGTAGTTCCTCCTGCCTTTAGGCACCTACAGTGGCTGTGCGGAGTGGCCGATTCTTTATAAGCACAGCACCTCCCCACCTTCCCCCTGCCAGCTCTGCCAAGGGTGAGAGCAATGGTACAGCAGGGGTTAATAACTGAGCCACTGTTGAGACTTCTTGGGTGTTGGGAGGAGGGGAGAGACAGTCAGTGAGCTGTGGGAGGGGGATTCTGCTAATGCAGGGGCTAGTGATGTGAGGGTGCACAGCTCTGGTCCCTTGGCAAAGTTGTCCAGCCTCAGAGCTCATTTCCTGCCTCTGATGACTTGGTGTGGAGAGAAAGATGGGAGGAGGTGTGGGAAGGAGAGGAGAGCCCCTTGGGATAGCCCAGTGGATTGTGGAGTGTCCGGGGAGCACTCCCAGATGCCGCCAGTTAGGTTTGTGAAGCCTCTGGAGATAGATCTACAGTAGGGGTACAGTTTGGAGGCAGAGTTTGCCCTATGGGCAATGCAGCTCCAGTGCCCTAGGTGGCCCCTGTTATAGTAGCACGGGTGCAGGGGAGAGGCACCCTGTAAGCAGGTATGTGCTGCTGTAAGGTCTGAATATGCACATGCAAGGGTGCATTATGATGTGTGTTTTTGTGTAAGCACCGACTCTGGGGTACACTTGTGTGCACTGAAAAGGTGTGCAAGTGTTCATGTGTATGTGCCCTGGGGGAAGGTGCTGGTGTGTGCTTCATGTGGAAGTCCTGAAAAATGCAAGTGTGCCCTGCAGGGGTGGGTGGATGCAAGTGGCACAAGGAGGTCCATTGGTTGATTTGCATGAGAACGAAGGTGCATACACGCGTCACTTATGTACACATGTATGGCTGGTTGGAGCTGTGTGCACATCAGCTGTGTGTAAATATATGTCTGTGTAAGGATGCGCATGTGGGACTTGGGCTGGCTGGTGTCCCTGTGAGGTCTGGATATGGATGTCTGTGTGGACCAGGGGCCATACCCACGGGAAAGCTTGTGTGTGTGTGTCTGAGGCCTGGGCCCATGGGCTCGGGTGGGAGTGTGGGTACTGAAGGCATGTGCAAGCTCAGGCTGGTGTCTGCATATGTGTGGGAGGTGGGCCCGTGACTGTGTACAAGTAGGCTGTCCACACACACACATACACGCACACACACTTGCACACCAGGCTATCCTGACACCCATAGGCACACACCAGACCCTTGTATAGGCACACACCCTAGTGCAGATGTGTGCTCACTCCTGTCTGCAGACTTCCTGTCTTTCTGAGTGTGTTTTTGTCCTGGGGTTGGGGTGTGGAGAGCAGGAATGAAATGTTTGGGGCTGCTCTGGAGGACCCAGGCTATCTGCCTCACTTGTGCAGGGACCCCTTCTCAGCTGGGTTCCAGCATCCACTGGAGCCAAGGATTCCCTGATCAGCTGGGCGCTGCCTTTCAGGGTGCGACCGAGGCTCGGTTCTGGGAGGACTGCGTCACAGAGTGCAGTGAAATGGAGTTGAGATGTGACTCAGGCGCTTATAAAACTGCTGTTTTGCCCTAAGAGGAGATGGATATCATGAAGACTGGGTGGTCTGGGGGTGACTTCTCAGCGAGAGCCATCCTGAGCCTTCTCGGCCCCACTATCTGCCAGGGCTCTTGCAGGGATCAGGGCATGGGCAGAATTTCTGGAGACAAAGAGCCCTTTTGTGACCATGGCAGAAAGACTGAGGGTGGCAGGCATGGCCAGGCCTAATCTGATCAATTTCCTTCCACAATTACCAGTGCTCTTAACCTTTTTAAGGTCACATATTCCTCCAGGAATCTGATGAAAGTCTATCTTCCCTAGAAAAATGCTCAAACCTACGAAATGGTACAGGCAAGGTCAGGACTCGCTGGACATCAGGAAGTCTAAGGATGGAGCCTGAGGATGCTTGTATTGGAAAAAAAAAGGAGATGAGGCGCTACCCCTCTGATGCCTGGGTTTAAAAGGCCAGGGTGCATCACTGGGGAGGCAGGGCTTTCCTGATTCACTCAAAGCTTCAGCCCAAACGACCAGGTAGTGGCAGCACCCAGCAGAGGGCACAAGGCCCGGACCTTACCACCCGTAGCGTTGTGACACTGGACAGGCTATGGCACCTGTTTCCCACAACCTGTAACCTGCAGATAAACAGGGACTGGGAGGATGAAGTGAGATGGTTCTCATGAAGACACAGTGACGCTTGGGGCACCCTGGCATCACCACTGCCCTCAAATGGGGGCTGGGACCTGCTAGGGCTTTGCTTTTTGACAGGAGTTTGCCCAGCTTGGCAGAAGGGGTTGACTGAGCCCTGCCACTCACCCACTGGGCTGGCTGGGATGGGACAGCTCCTCTTCTGTTGGGATGAGCAGCGCAGATGCCTATGGGGCCCATCCTTCAAGGGGTGACTCCAAGTCCCGGCCAGCCAGGACACTTCTCTTACCACTTGGAAGCTGAGCTCCCATTTCCAGGAGCCTACTTCAGATCACCAGCATGATGACTGCCAGAGGCAGCTTGGCTGGCCCTCCAAGGGGCCATGGGGGTCTTTGACCTCCTTTTGCAGGGCCCTGGCCTCCTGGCTGCAGAGAAGGATTGGAGGAGGACACGAGCCTCTTGAGGGATTCCTGGCGCCCTGCCAGTGAGGCTTGGCTCCTGACTGCAGGCCTTCGAGGAGCCCAGGGTAGGGCTGGCTGAGGATGTCAGAGGAGGGGCTCCTTCCCTGCCTAGGGGGCAGCCAGCTGAGGAGGTAAGGGGGTTGGGGTCAGAATTAGTGCTCTGGGGCCTCTTGATGCTCCTGGATGAGGTCCCACTGCAGCATATGATTCACATAAGCCAGGAACTTGAGTCCAGTTTCCCTACAGGGTTGGGGTGGGGCTGTCTCTGGGGACCTATAGACTAGCTCACTCCCTCCTCCCTTGACACCCCAGTCCTCCTTCCTCCCATAGGAGAGGGAAACAGAAGCCCAGACCTTAGGAGCACAGAGGCTTGTTTGGGGGCAGAAGGCAGGTTGCAGCACCCCCAGCTCTAGGGTCAGAGTGGGCCTGGGTGCTAGGGCCAGAGCTCCCTGCAGACCCAACCTTCTGGAAGACCAGGACCTGGGGTGGGTGGGGCAGCGGGGGGAGGAAGGGGTGAATTCCAGGAGATAGAGAATGAGGATGCCTGCTCTAGCCCTTGACATTCTCCGGGCTTTGAATCCCAGTCCCAGGAGAGGTTAGTTAGGGAGGCAGAATTACCCTGCAGCCTGTGTAATCACTGGGCTGTACAGAGAGCCTGGGAAGGAGATTTTGCTTGAGAGGGGGAGGGAGGCTAGAGAGAACACGCAACCCAGCCTGTTCTCTCTAGAAACAGAGATCTGAAATTGACTCAAGGGTGGTGGTGGAGCTGGGGGAAGGGCTGCAGGGGCCAGCAAGATTGCCAGAGGGAGAGGGGAGAGCTGGCTCTGGAGCCCCCAAGGCTTTATATCATGAAGAAGGCTCAGGCTGGGCTGATCAGTGGGGGACACTAGAGACCAGAGGCCCTGTTCTGGGGTGGGGTGGAGGGGGGAAGCCCAAGGTCCTGGGTGCTTAGGTTCCTTCGCTCTTGGACACAAGCTCTGACATCTGCAGGATGCGTTTCTCAATCCCACTCTTTTCCTGGTGGGGCTTTTAGGAGGATCCTCAGTGTAATACTGGAGAAGAGAAAGTACCTGTGCAATGAGGCACTACTCCCCGCAAAGACAGGACTGTGCTTTTATTTTGCTTCTGACCACCTGTCACCTTCATAGTGCTTTGGAGCCAGTGTGGCACTTCTCTACACACGAGCTCATCTCTGAGGGAGGGAGAGGACTTACTCGCCCATATTACAAATGAGCAGACTGAGGCTTGAGAAGGTGAAATGACCTGGCTCGGGGGACTGGTGGCAGCACTCAAGCTTGCGTGTAGGTCCCCAGCACCGTGCATACGGAGAGAAGATTAATAAGGGGGACCCCTCGTGGTGCCCTTCCTGGGGAACACTTGCAGGGAAGAAGGGTGTGCCCTTGCGGGTGAGGGAACTCTGAACTGTCGCTTATTTTCCCATCATAATTCCGCCTCTAATTGACTGCGCCAGATTCCTTGTCCTTGGTGTACCTCAGCTTTACCATCTGTGAATTGGGGATCAGAGCACTTCTGCAGATGCTGGAAGGCACCGTTAGAGCTGCTACCCTCTTTAGCCTCTGTCTGTGAAAGGCACCTGTGGGAAATGTCAGGCTTCCCGAACACCAGAGCTGGGAGGACCATAGACATTGTCTCCTCACAGCATCAGCGGTGGAGCCAATACCCAGAGAGATGCAGTTTGCCCAAGGCCGCAGGAAGAGCCTGTGGCAACGGTAGCCAGGGTAAGGGGCCAGGTGATGTTCAGGGGCCAGCAGCTAAGGATGCGAAGTTGGGGGGCAAGTGGGATAAGGGAAGGGGACAGCCTTCCCTCACTCTTCCTCCAAGCCACCAGAGCGGAAGGCACGCACATGTTCCGGTGCTTGCCGCA